TTCACTTTCACAGTCCGCGCTGGAAATTGATGCGTTTATTACCACCAGTAAGAAGGAAAGTGGCGATACCATCCACATGACGTGTGTGAAAATACGAGCGGCTGAGATTGCTTTTTTAAAGTCTGTGCGATTCCGTGACCACCCAGCCATCCGCTCGGTTTCGTGCATGATGACCGTTCAGTCACAGATCGCACACCACTGCCGATCGCGCTGGCAGTGCCATTATTTTCTAATGGCACCCCTGTCTTGCCAGACACATTCCACTTGCCCGGCGCCCGGAACTACATGTCCCGGGCGTCGGGCGATACGAATTCCACACCCCTGAATAGACCCCTGATGTCCCCATAAAGCGAACCTATCTCCTCCCAGAGTTATCACATATGGTCTTGCTAGCACCACAGAATACCAATATACGATGCCCCAACACAATGCTGACACACATTGGAGTCTATTCACAAAGCTGCCGAAGGATCTCGCCGTAGCTTCGGCCGATCCTTCGGCTAGCTTCCGCCACAGGACCCCTTTGGTTCAGTAGAACCGAAGGGGTGCTGTACGGGCTATTCACAATAGCAAATTGAAATAGCCAATAGTGATGTACCAATGCTTTTCAATGGGAAGATTTCTTTTTTTTTTCTATTCTGACCGCTCCGTGTCAGAATAAAGAAAAAAAAAGACACAGCAGTGTTTCTCTCCTGGGCGGCCGGGAGCAGGAGACTCCCAGAGCGCACCGGAGAGTTTTTTTTCCCCCGTTTTTTTGGGACGGCAGCAGAGTCGCCGGACAATAGGAAACTATTGGGCGGAGCTAGCTGTCACTGCTAGCTCCGCACAATCGTTTTCTATTTACTTTGTTTTACCTTTTTTAACTCTTTTTCTGTTCAGCGGCTATTCACTCACTGCTGTTCGGCATCTTTAAGAATAGGCCGAACAGCAGTGAGTAGACTGCCGAGGTTCGGCTCAGCCGATCCAGATGTTGGATCGGCTGAGTCAAACTCCTTCTGCACTTCGGGTCGGCCAAACATGCTGAGCATGTTCGGCCGACCCGAAGCCACGTGAAGCAAGCCGATGTACGGCTGACTTCAGCCGATGTACGGCTGAAATCAGCCATACCAGCCTGAAGTGAATAGCCGAACAGTGTTCGGCTCACTTCACTTCAGGTCGGTCATTCACTCGGCTGCCTACGGCATCTTAGTGAATAGACCCCATTGAGTGACAGGTAGAGGCACAATCAGAATCAGTGCTGACCGACAAGGGAGCGGAGTTAAGCATAGAGACTCTGGGGGAGGGGGCGAGATGGTGTGCGATGTGCTTATATGATCTGATTATGAATAAGATATTATTGCTGAGAACTGAAGTTGTGTAATAAAAGGGAACTAAGATGTGTGTGAGATAGTAAATACAAAGAACAATTATTAAACCATATACCAAGAAACAGTTCATGAGACTGAGATAACAAAAATACAACAGGAGATGTAAATATGATAATACGGGTGCATAGGACAAGGTAAGTGCATTCCCTTCTGATCTTTATTCTTCCTGCATTCCCCTCTGATCTTTATTCTTCCTGCATGAATAGCTAGATTGCTATTGGCTATTTGAATTTGCAATAGCCAATAGCAGACTAGCTATTGTACCTGCCCACTGCTGCTGTCAATCAGCAGAGGTGGACCTGCAGTTCTCCATCAGGTCCTCTTCTGCTGATTGACAGCTGCAGAGGGTGGGTGCAATAGCCAGCTTGCTATTGGCTATTGCAAATGGAAATAGCAATCTAGCTATTCTTTCCTATGCTGGCTTTTTTTATTCTGACAGCAGCAGCTGTCAGAATACTAAAATAAAAACAGCAGATAGCAAATAGCTTTTTTGCTACCTGCCATCATTTCAGGGGGGTCTCCCCTCCCACGCCCGCCTCACAGAAAGGAGAAGGGCACTTCCCTAAAATTACTTTTTTCAGGTTGGGATCCCTGCTTAAGGGTCACAGCAGGTGTGCAGACCTGGAAACTCAGCTCAGGGATAGTGGGAGCCCTCATAATTCGCATAGCAGGTCTGCAAACTTGTGAGCTCTGCAGAGAGAGGGTAAGAACCCATCATAATGGGCACAGCAGATGTGCAGGCCCAGGAACTCAGCACAGAGGTCTCAACAATTTGAATCCCTGAGAGACAGAAGAGACTGGCAGGTGGTTTAAAGGAGAAACATGAGGTGAGTGATTTTTCACTCATCCTCATAGTTAGAGCCGACCTGTGACAATGAGACTGTCACACATCGGCAATATCGAGCAGGAAGTGAGCAGAATCATGCAGCTGATCTGTTCACTTCCCGATGATCTCCCTACAGAAAGAAGTGACTGTCAGTCACCGCTCCCCACAGGGATTCCTCCCTCTCCGATCCTCCAGCAATGACTGAGGAGGTTAGTATATGTCCTCCCGTGACCCTAAAGAGAACTATGGGGAAAGACACTTACCCCATAGTTCTCTTTTAACTCCCCAGCATCCACCAAACACTAAGATATCAGTTCACTTCTCTGGTGTGACCCTTCAAACCCCCATTACACATAGACCTCTCTCAAAAAAGATTCAGAAAACATTGTAGCCAAGATATTAGCCTTACAGCTAGGGAATCAACATTCTCAATGGAGATTTTAGCAATGTCAGCCCTATAGTATTCTCATCTGGAACAAATTGACGTGAGACGATGAATTCAGATTATCGGGACAGATTGTGACACAGCACAGTGTATATGGTGAGGCCGCTCTTGACAAAAATGGGATGTGCCTCAGACAAGGGGGGCCAAAACTGAATTGATTGACTGGTATAAAGTCTAACAATCAAATAGTTTAATAGTCCAAAAATGTTTACTTTAATAAAAGTATTGGTATAAAATCAACAACACAAGACCCCCCTCTTCTTCAGGGCTTAAACATAATGGGTAATTAGAACTCAAAGGTGGCACAAATCATCAAGAGTTAATTATTTGCTGTATAGACTAAGCATACATCAGAATCAGTGACGTCTACAGTATTCTCATAACAGAGCCACTTTAACATCTGGCAGAAAGTTTTAGTGGCAGTCATTGCCAATAGAAGTAACCCAACCAGTTAGTCCATGTGAAAGGACAATTTCTACATTTATAATTGTACATTCCATTCCACAATAAGGATATAGTACGAGAAAAGATTGCTGCTGGGATTTTTCTATTCCCTGGCTCCAATCTCTTACCACCAAGACTAACAAAAACGGATTGGACAAAATACCTATTCACAGCCATTTTCTTGCATAAACCATTTTATTTATTCAGTTTGTTCTAGTTTAGGGATATCTTCTTACCGAAATTATTTAATTTAAAAAAAACCTACAGGAAGGAAGTTGATGTGCTATCATTACAGTTATGTAAAGTAAAAACAAAGCAATCATTGCTAATAAGTCTGAAATATCTGAAGGTAGTTGGCAGATTCTCCTCTTCATCTGCTGCAGACCGGTGAAGGTAAGACCTGGCCACAAAGAAATCCACCCAACCATTGATGGATGTCATCACCTGTACCTGACTGTCTCCACTACTGAGAAAGAACTCTTATCTAATTATAGAGATAATTGCTCTTTATCATGAAAGTGTCAGTTCTCGCTTACTCCCTCCCTAATGTGCCATGCACTTAAAATACTTCATGCATTGGGTGTTGGTCAGTGACGTGTCTGTGAGTGTTCTGTTTTTTTTCTTTAGTTCTCCAGACAACAGAATTCCAGGTAGGAATTAGTGGAAGGGGGAGAAAGGGAGCAAGAGGATTTAATAGCAAGTGAAAAGGGATAGAGAGAGATAGGAGAGAATGGGTGAGATAGAACAGTAGGAAGAGAAGTGGATGAGAGAGAAAGTGTTAATGGAGGGGAGAAGAGGGGGAGAGAGAATAGTGTGAAGGGAGAAGAGAAGAGGGTGAGATAGGTGTAAAGAGAGAGAAGAAGAAGGTGAGATAGAAAGGTGGAAATAGAGAAGAGGAGGGTGAGATAGAAAGGTGGAAAGAGAGAGAAGAAGAGGGTGAGATAGAAAGGTGCAAAGAGAGAGAGAGAAGAAGAGGGTGAGATAGAAAGGTGGAAAGAGAGAAGAGAGTGAGATAGAAAGGTGCAAAGAGAGAGAAGAAGAGGGTGAGATAGAAAGGTGGAAAGAGAGAGAAGAGGGTGAGATAGAAAGGTGGAAAGAGAGAGAAGAAGAGGGTGAGACAGAATCGTGGGAAAGAAGAAGAAAAGAGAGTGAGGAGGGAGAAGAGAAGAGGGTGAGATAGAAAGGTGGAAGAGAGAAGAGTAGAAGGTGAGATAGAAAGGTGAAAGGGGGAAGAGAAGCAGTTGAGATAGAAATGTGGAAAGGGGAAGAGAAGCAGGTGAGATAGAAAGGTGGCAATAAAGAGGAGGGTGAGATAGAACTTGTAAGAGAGATTAGGAGAGGGTGAGGTAGAAAGGTGGGAGAAAAGGGAGAGATAGTGAGAGACACAGAAGAGACAGACAGAAAGAGAGGGTGATATAGGACAGTCAGACAAGTGAGAATAATAGAAAGGGTAAGATATAAAGGTGAGGAGAGAGAGAGAGAGATGGGGGAAGAGGTAGAGAAACAAGGGAGAGGGTTAGATGAAAAGGTGCAGAGAGAGGGAGGAAAGAGATTAAATAGAAAGGTGGGAGGGGAGGGTACTGAGAATAGAGAAGCAGAGGTTGAAAAAAACATAAAAGAGATAGGGAGGAAGAGTAAAAAGAGGAAAAAAGAGATGTGTGTAGAAAGAGAGAAAGCGAGAGGAAAAAGGGGATAGAGAGAGAGACTAAGGAATGGTGGTAGTGGTGGTGGGGAAAGGAGTCAGGAGGGAGAAAAAAAGAAGTTACAGATGAAGTGAAAAGATAAAGATACAAAAACCATGAATACAAGGAAAATAAGAGAAAGAGTTAGTGAAGAAATAAAATCATTACAGAGGAAGGGAAGAGGTGAAGTAGAGAGAGGCAAGAACATTCTGTAGTAATCATCTTATATTTTCCAGTAGAGGGATACATTGCTTCCTTAAGGAAGACTGATAACAATCTCACACACCCAATAACTCTCGATGTCTTTATAGGGAAGAAAAGATGCCGAACATCAGCAATGAGACAGACGCCGCGAAGTCCTTGAGCTATGGGGACGTTTTCATCGTCTTGGTTCTACTTTTCATTTTCCTTGTGGGGGTCCCCGGCAATGCTCTGGTTCTTTGGGTTACCGGAGTGAAGATGAAACGCAGAGTCAACACCGTTTGGTTTTGTAACCTTGCTCTGGCCGACATCATCTGTTGCTCGTTTGTCCCGCTCATCCTAGTTAATATCTTCAGTTCCCGTTGGCTATACGGAGACACTTGGTGCAAAATTTTACCCTTCATTCTCATTCTCAATATGTTCTCCAGCGTCTACACCCTGGTGGCCATCAGCATTGACCGCTGCATCCTGGTGGTCTGGCCAGTGTGGGCCCAAAATCACCGCCGCTTACGGACAACGTGGATCATCTGCATGGTTATTTGGATTGTGTCCATTGTAATGGGTCTACCTGTGGCCATCTACCGAACAACGGTCATTGAGAATAACATAACCACATGTACCTATATGAAAGAGTTTATGGTTCCCATCACTCTTACTCGGATGGTTTTTGGATTTCTGATTCCCCTCATAATCATTTCTACCTGTTAGATCCGTCTGGCTTTTAAAGTACAAAACACACGGCTTTTAAAGGCGGGCAGAAAGACTACCAGGGTGGCCCTTGTCATAATAGTGGCCTTCTTCATCACCTGGGCTCCATACCACATAATGGGAGTTATGCTCTACACTGGCAATAAAGTTGTGGTCTACTTGAATGCTCCAGCACAGTCTTTGGCTCACTTTAATAGCTGCATCAACCCGATACTGTACGTCTTCATGGGGAAAGATATGAAGAGCAAAGTGCGACAGACTATTTGCGGGAGCATGGAAAATGCATTTAAAGAAGAGGCATCAAGAAGTTGCATATACCACAGGAGCAGAATCGCATGTGCAGAGAACTCTCGTCTTGAACGGCGGTAAGACTGACATACTGATGTGAGTTGGACATTTATGACGGTAATTAATATTAAAGTGTATGTATTGCCAAAACCTTTTTTTTGTTGTTGATTATTTTTAAAAAATTGTGCTGCTCTGGAAAATGATTTTGTATAATTCAGATTTACTGTTAAAGGAGAACTATCGAGATAAATATTAGAGTTGAAGTATATCAAAAGCTAAGACTTGTTTTTTCTACTTTAAATAGAGAAAGGAAGGGTTAAAACCTCCTGGCAGTTTTTATTTTCCATCTGTTTCCCATTAGATAGACTTCACTTCAGTTCCTGTGCCGCAGATGAAACAGGAAGTAAGAGGATATCTCTACTAGACATGTGCATTCGGAATCAGATGAACCTGCAAATCAATGAAATTCAGTTGATTTGGTGGTTCTTTCGAACCTGAAATAACAAATTTGTTATATGCCCGGATATACGAAAACTATATTCGGGCATACATAAATTCATTTTCAGAATGCGCGGTGGCCTCAATGGTCGCCGGCATGCTCTGCGCATGGCCACCACCTCCTTGGAGGCGAAGCACATGACCTCACATGACGGTGACATCACACGCTGAATGAGTGGTGGCCATATCGCCCGCCGACACGTTCTGAGCATGCCCGCCGCCATCTTGGAGGCAGAGCGCATGGCCTCACATGGCGGTGACATCACACGCTAAACGAGCAGTGGTCATATCGGCCGCCGATACGTTCTGAGCATGCACGCCCCCATCTTGGAGTATATCTTGATATACACCAAGAGGGCGCCACCATCTTGGTGTATACCAAGATACTCTTCAAGATGGCGGTGCACATGCGCAGAATGCGGAGGCGGCCGGTTTGGTCGCCGCTCGTTCTGTAGTTTCAGTGTGCGGTTTCGGATTCGGAGGCTCGTTGCCTCCGAAACAGCATAAAATTAGTTTCCTTTGATGAATTTTTTTTGCTGTGCACATGTTTAATATCTAACAAGCCAGGAGAGGTCCCCTTTGAGACAGGGGTCACCGGAATAGGCGTCCCCAGTGGAAGATTTTCCCTCGCCTCTTGATCTGGTGACAACTGCAAAGCTTTGGATTTCCCCCTCGGAAATCTCTTTCTCCCTCGGTGACAATGGTCTAAGATTGCCATCCTAACCTCCGTCTCCTCTCCCTAGTAACTCGTGTTCCTTTGGCTACAACAAAAATGCTTGAGCCTAAAGAAAAAAATGCCAAAAAACCCTTCAAAATCCCCAGAGAACGCTCACGCTCAGTGTGATTGGGGACGCGGGGTTAACATTGTAACTTTTCACAGTCTTCTGCATTCCGGCAGATATTTACGGCATTCAGGAAGAATCACACAGAGAATCATAAACTCATTTATCAGCTTAGTTCACTGGTCACATCCAGACAATACCACACTGGATTTGACAGGTTCTTATATATGAAGCGCAACGGAAACTGTTGGCGCTATAAAAATCCTGTATAATAATAATAACATTCTCCTATTCTGAGGGGCATCCCGAGGCCAGGTGTCACCCGGAGCGGAGACTGGGTGGCACCCCGCTGGGATGTCATCACGCATGTGCGGCCGTCTAATTGACGCCTGCCGGTGGCCATCGTGGTGATGGACGTCGGCAGAGAGAGGAGGGGACGTTCACCCAGCGGGATTAGGTATGCTGCTGCATCCCCTCCTCTTTCCTGACACTGTCCGTGACCGAGTGCCCGACTTTTCATAGGGGGTGACACCAAAATGACTGCCAGTCATTTTGGTGTCACCCCTCCAATGGTGTCACCCAGGTGCGGGCTGCACCCCCGCACCCCCCTTGTGACGCCACTGCCTATACTGCATACAAACATTACCAACAAGCTGACCTTCTACTTTTCAGCTTTCTTTACAAAAAGATTCTGTTGTATTTGTTTTACAAAAGGAGCTTTATTGATATGTACAATATTGTGAATTATGTTTTTGAATGAAATAATATATATTTAATATTATAATAATAAAATAATGAAAATGAAAGAAATAAAATTAATCTGAATGATATTATTACGGATGATGATATAAATAATGTAAATAATGTGTTTGTGTATAAAAAATATTGTATAAAGTCTTCCATGCTGGTGATCCTGCCATGAAGGTCCTTGCTCAGGCAATTCTTGTAACAGTGTGACAACACTCCCCCCCCCCTCCTAATTGTGATCCTGTGTTGTCATCCTGTCACATGGGTACATCTTAGAAACAAGAAATGCAACTTGAAGATTCTAGAGAAAGCTGGCGCAAATAAGCAGATAAATGTAACAATTGCTACTACTAGAGGGAATGATCAGATAAATGTAGCCATTGCTACCACTGGAGAAAATTAGCAGATACACATAATTATTGCTACCACAAGAAGAAATGAGCAGATAAATGTAACACTGTTACTACTAGATGGAATTAGCAGATAAATGTAACCATTGCTAACACATGACGAAATAAACAGATAAGTGTAACACTGGTACTACTAGATGGAATTAGCAGATACATGTAACCATTGCTACAAATGGAGGAAAACAAGCAGATACATTTAACCATTGCTACTTTAGAGGAAATTAGCAGATACCTGTAACCATTGCTACTATTTCTAAACAGGATGAGCAAATAAATGTAGCCATTACTACCACTGGAGGAAAATAGCAGATAAATGTAACCATTGCTACTACACCCAGTGAAACTGTACATGCAGTTTTGCTGAATGAATAGCTATGCACATTTTTTAAATAGATCCCCTAGGGCCTCATGCAGGGCTGGTCTTAGGGGTGTACGAGCGGTGTGGCCGCACAGGGCGCCATGGCAACAAGGCGCCGTGCGGCCAACACAGCTCGTCCTTGGGGCGGCTTCTCTCCCCCTCACCGCTGGCCATCCGATATGACAGCGCTCCCTCGTCCGCCCTCCCCCCCACTTCAGGGCAGGGCGGGAGATCGGTAAATATCATTGATATTTACCTATCCTCCGTGTGAGAAGGACAAACACTGTAGTGATCGTCTGATCACTCCAGTGTTTGTAAATAACTGGGGACACATAGTGCTATTTGTCCCCAGTTATAAATGAACAGGATGTGATTTACATCGCAGCCTGTTCATTCAAGATTTCACCAATGGGGAGAAGCACTCAGTACAGAGGCTCCTCCCCATTCAAAAACAGCTGATAGAGAAATATTTCTCTATTAGCAGTTTCTGAATGAATGGGAGGAGCCTCTGTACTGAGTGCTTCCCATTCATTGAGTGCTGAGGTTGCTGAAAAATAAATTGAGGATTTGGTGTCCTCAATTTCTTTTTCTATTTCAAAAGGGAAATGCCAGGGGTCTGTTTGGACCCCTAATATTTCCCGAAGCCCCCCAACAGTAAAAAATAAATAATACAAAAAATAAAAAATTATGAAACAAATACTATAAAAATATGAAAAATTATTTTTAAAAAGTGAA